TCTGTTGTGTGTTCAGGTCAACGAAAGTCTTGCACTGCCGCTACGCTTGGAACGATCGGTCCGCCAAGGGGATCTCATTGCTCCTTTCCAATTTCTAGTCATTATGGAGGCCCTCGCCACTAACCTCCGGGGAAATAACAACATCACGAAGATTCGAATTACACACATCCCGGAGGAAGCCATCCCGGTATGTTCCTTGTTTGTGGATGACCTCACAATTATGGCAGAAACCACACACCACAATATGAAGGAAATCCGACGTATGATGGAGAAGTTTACCAAAGTGTCAGACATGTTTGTCAACTGGGGGTCTAAAACACAAGGGTGGTGGATCCACTACCAAGGAGGACGTCCTCCAGAGGTCCCTCGCATTGCCTGGAAGCCTTTGGAGACCCCAATAAGAGTCCCAGGGGTCTCCATGACTGCAGAGGGACGACCACCAATCAACGATGAATGGATTAGTTCCCCGACTCAACATAAACTGGACAGCTGGAGAAACAAACGCACATCCCTCTTCGGTCGAGCCTTAGTCCTCAACAATGTCGTTTTTGCATCACTATGGTATAAATCCCTGTTGTGGCCCTTAAGTAAAGAGGCTTTGAGAGGTCTTAAGCGAAAGGCAGCAACTTTCATATGGAGGGCGGATGGGGAGCAACCCAATGTGATTAGCAGAGTGGCATGGGATTCTATCATCCAACGGAAAGCAGAGGGAGGCTTGGGAATCCTCGACCCAGCTACGCAGGTACAAGCACTACGAGTCAAAACTTATTTTCGACCCCCAGTGCCCATGGTGCGTCTTGGCTCAAGAACACCTGGCTAGGCTGGTCCCAATGACTCCCCATACGACCCACCCGCTCACTTGGTTAGAGGACCTTTTGGACACCTTTTGGCCTTCCCTGCTACAAATCTGGTGCAAACTCCCGCTCCCAGATAGGACCCGACCTTACCGGTGGGAGGAAGTCTATCGACAATCCCTCTTTGGCAACAGATGGGTGACAGACACGAGGGGCCGGGTGATGATAAGTTCATCCCCTCCCTGGAGGAACTGGGTTAAACACAGGATACTCAGGGTGGGGGATCTCTGGGACAATGAAAAGCACGATTGGAAGACAGGGGACCAGCTGGGAACAACCCTACGGTACTGCCACCACGTAGAAGATTCGTTGGAAAATCTTATTGAAGTCATTCCATTAGAGTGGTACCGGATCCTCAGACGAGGCCCCACCTTGAGAGAGGGAGAGCCGGTTAACCGACCCCCCATTTTTCACCTCAATTTATAAGAAAACCATAAGGCCATTTCAAGCAAACTCCACACCAATGTATAAAGTGCACTTCTTAAAACAAAATTTCACCCCGAAACCCTAATTTCAGGATCATTCATGGTTACTCAGGGCCGAAAAGTGGGGGTCCCCGTTAACCGCTCCCTGAGAGAGGGTGACTTGGTGACAACCATAGGGTCCCCGCAGCAGATTGGTTTGGTACACATGATTTCCCCCCAGACGGTCCTGACCGAAAACTACATTATCACAAAAACTAACACTCTCCAAGGGAGTAAGGTGCCCTTCGAGTGGAGAAACGGAACATTAGTCTATCGAGTGAGAATTATTGAGGAGAAGGGACAGAGGGTGGCTTTTCAACCAGATAAGCCAATCCAGGACTTGGCCCTGGACCCGGTGGAATGAACCTGGCAGCCCCCTCAAAAGAGGGGCGCCCCCAAGCCCAATCCGATCAGCCTACACTTACTGACAGTCAAATCAGCATATAAACTGCTCCGACCGAAACGGCAGCTGAGAGATATGATCAACGATAGATGGGCTAGACAATTGAACATCGATCGCTCCCTCTTGTCACCAATCCAATGGTTCAAGGAGCAAAAGCACAGGCCCATGAAAATCACCTTCATGCAGTGGCAGATTGCCCACCGCTGTTTACCAACCAATGACTGGCTAACCGATCGAACGAACCTCGAACAAAGAGGCCTGTTGCTTCTATAGTGCCAGCAATGCCAGAGCCTCTTCCCTTTCCACAAGAAGGCGGAGACCATTGAACACATCTTTATGCAGTGTCCGGTCGCCCAATACATATGGAGGTCGTGGGATCGTATCTGGCGAAAACTAGAACCGGACACTCCCTGGCCCTGGTCATGGCAAGCCATATTGGCTGGACATTGGCCCCTGGCAGGGACAGCCACACCTTTTATAGAAAACATGTACAGAATTGGAAGGAGGGCGATGATGTGGGCACTCTGGTGGCAGAGGTGCACCCTGGCCATGGAAAAGGTACAGGTAGACGGCGCAGAGATCACAGAACAAATACAGCAGTAAATGCACCTCGAACTCACACGTAGATGGCTAGACACAAAATCACAGCTAGACCTTTTTCGACAGATTGGGGACATCAGGAGAAGGATTACGGTGTTTTGCACGGATTGGGTAGGGGGGGAAAGATAAGGTTGGATTGCAAGAGTGGTATGGAGCGGAGACCACGAAGGGGGGATGAGGGACTTGGAAGTAATGAGAGATTATAGGCTAGAATTTAAATACCGGACCAATATAGAGCCCTCGTTCCCATTACGCCCTCCCTCGGATTTCCCAGACCCCTTCCCACCCCATGCACTGTCCCTGGCAGAAATTTTGTCCTGAAAGCAATATCGATAACCCTCCCTCCTTATACCCCCTCACGTCCCTTTTGTCCATCATTCTGCTTCCGTTCCACTGACAACTCCTCTAGAAGCCTGCACGAGGAACTCCTCCTCAGTACCCCCTGGGGAGGACCTCGCTCATCTACCAATAAGAGTCATACTCAACAAAAACAGTCTGCATTAACAGTCAGCAGGAGGGGTTTGGAGCAAGCAGCCGGTAAACAGTATCAGTCCCTAATTTCCTATCTGGCGCCCTCCCTCTGAGGGTGAAGAGATACAAAGGCAACAGCAGTTTTTCAAGGTCCATACAGGTCTGCTCAGTTAATCCCCTGCTCTGCAGGGCAATCGATGCTGGCAGGCAACAGTAGCTCTCCATTCCCATAAAAGGCTGCACTTTTGGCTCCTACATGCACTTTTGGCCTCCACACAAGCATGCTCAGTTAATCCCCTGATTCTGCAGGGCAATCAATGCTGGCAGGTCCCACAGTCACTCACAGTCTTTGGTTCCAGAGTTTTCCAAACTATTCTCCCTTTTGTAAAATGGGACGCTGGACCCGATTTCCAGCAGGTGACGCTCCCCACTAATAGATGGAGCCTCCCCTCCGGTGTTAGTGCTGTCTGCTCCTATCAGCAGCACTAAAAAAAAAAAAAAAGGGCGACGATTCATCAGTGTGGCGATAATTTTATGTCGGGTCGCCCTTTGGTAAAAATTGGGCACATAGTTATGTGAGGGCGACGATTCATCAGTGTGGTGATAATTTTATGTCGGGTCGTCGGGGGTCGAGGTCCGACTAGCAAAGAGGATTGGATTGAGCTCCTGAATCTGGACGTGTCTAAGCAGAGATGCAGAAAATCAGTTCAATCTTGATTGTCTGCTTCTTTCAACGAACAAGTCTAGGTGCCGGCGTTCAATCTAATTCTCTTTTTTTTTTTTTTTTTCAAAGCTAGCTATATTCTTCTCTCATCTATCGCATATTCTTTGTCTTTTCTTGGTAGTAGGCACCTATCTCATCCTCTCACTAGTCTATTTATAGCACGGGGAAACACCAACCAACCCAACCAATCCGGATCTCTCCCCAGCCCAAGGGGTAGGTGGGGACCACAGCTGTGGTGCGCGAACAAGGCTGTACCAGTCCCTCATCACGGTGAAGAGGGGTGGGCAGGCATTGCTGATGGGGGAAATCGGCAGCGCTAGGGCCGAGCAATGGCCAGTCACTGCACCTCCCCCTACCCCACCCCCAACCCCACATGGAGGTGTCTAATGGCCAATATTGTCGCTGCATAGCAGCCAACAACATCAGCCAAGGTCCTGCCAATGCTGGCTTGGGGGGCCAACGGGTTATCTCTAGCTGGTAGAACACCAAGCTTGCCCAGGCACGTACGTGAGGCCAATGGGGATTGAACCCACGACCCCCAGAATGCAACTTCTGTGCCTTACCAACTGAGCTAGGCCCCTTCTCTTTGTTAGTGGGACATCCGCTTAAAATTCGAACGAAACGAATCAGAGCCGATCAGCAGGGCCGCTGTGCAAGAATGGCACGCACAGATCGAGAAATAATTGTTGACGGATACATCCGTGAATCCCCATCGTTTAGAGTCTGGTTTAACCTCCCCTAGCACTGAAGCAGATATTAACACGGTGTGCTAGATCGGTCGAAAGAGCAAGGGCGCGCGCCGCCCCACCCAACACACACACAGCCAGCGAGCGAGCGAGCCAGAGAGAGAGAGAGAGAGAGAGAGAGAGAGAGAGAGAGACGCGGTGGAAGCAGTGGGGCGAAGCAGGTGTGGCGGTTCGCCGGAGGAAACTCTGCACGCAATGCCACGCATGCTGTCCGTGGGCTACCGTCTTCACCCGAATAGAACGCCCGGTCATTATAGCTGTATTTGGTCGAAATTTAAGTCTAGATGCAGTGAGAATGACCGGACGTTATGTTCGGGTGAAGACGGTAGTCGCCAGTTAGGTGCTGGATATGGCGTTCCTTAGCTGCGTAGTCGGCATTTCCCGCGCGAATCGCGCGTATATTGAGCCTCGAGCGGCCGTTGCAAGTGCTGAGGCAAATTCTCGCGGGAAGATCGCTCTAGTGAGGGAGCGCCATCGGTTGTTATCGAGTTGACGTGTCCACAGACAGACACACACACACACACACACACACACACACACACACA